AAAGGTATAAATTAGTTTCATAATAGGGGTGTGTACATTGGATACTTTTTCCTCCATTCTTGTGATACTTTGCTCAGAAGAACATTCTCCAGCTAAAATCTATGCCCTTTTGATAAACATAAAACTCACTTCCCTTCCAGATTCTAATGCCTGCCCCAATAGAGGGATTTGTCCTTCCAGCTAACTATTTTAAGAGGCTTTATCTTAGCACAATCCCCAGAAGCACTCTGATCTACTTTACTTTCTGTAGTCTGTATTATGAAATCAGTAAATTCTTTTCATTTTCCACATAAAAATAAAATTTAACACTAAATGTGCTCTTTCACAGTACACGCAAATTCCAGAGTATGCTGAGCCTCTTTGGAGGTTTTGGGAAGTCTCACTTTTGGGAACTCCCCCATACCCCAACTCTTTCTGCCAGGTTGATACACTTACCTTGTATTCTCCATCCCCATGCAAATCCGCCAGCGCTGGAAAACACAAAAGGGCCAAAACCAAGGTCTCAGAATCCCAGAGGCTTCACTACAGGACCATTATCTAACTCCCCCATCCTTCCAGTACCAGGGTTCATGCTTCCAGAGACTCACCTAGGCAGGAGGAAAAGGTGTGGATGTTGGCCACTGGGTCGTAGTGTGCGTCCAGCCATTTCGAATCGGCCTCATTGCTGGATTTGGGGAAAAAGAGTTGGGAAGTGAGTCCCACGGAAGGGAAAGAAAACAGAACTGGTGTCTGAAAGGAAGGTGTGCAAGGAGCTGTGAACTGGAAGTACAGAACGTCTGGGTCCAATACAGGCTCCGCCCCTGAGGCAACGAGGGACTTCAAGTCAAGACACACCCTCCTGCAATTCTTGGGCCTCGGTTTCCCCATCTGACTCCTAAGGGTCCTTCTAGAACTGCCAGTGCTGCTCTAGAACTGCAGGAGCCTGCACCCTTGGAGCCAAGGCACCCTCTTTACTTCTGTGGGAAAAGAGGCTTTCAGGGCCCCTAGCTTCACCTCTCGGCTCGGCCGCCGTCGGAATCCGAAGACCGCGCCGCAGCCATCTTCCAGAGCGTCGTCTTGGCAACCGGCCCCGCCCCCGGCGCCGCGCAACCCCCTTTGGCGCCCGGGCGCCGGGCAGTGCCTGGACGAAGGTTCCGGGCGCGAAGGTTTTCCAGCCGGGCTGGAGAGACTCCGGGCAGGAGGCGCCGGTCTCCTTCCCAGGTTCCGCCTGCTGAGGCTCACTCTTCTCAGCTCTGTTACCTTTACTCCTTCCCAGGCTTCTGGGCCTTACAATCTCTGGGTTAGTAACAGGGCCTCCTTTCTTCCAGGCCTGGCAAGGAGTGCCTTCTAGCGTTTGAGCCCCATGAACTCAGCGGTCCGGTCTGTACCTAACCTGCAGCGGGGTACGTAATACAGATAGTCACAGGGGCTGTGGCACTGACACTATCCATTGCTGGGAAGGCCAGAAAACTCGGAGCAGAGCCAGCAGGGCCGCCCCGGTCTGTGTCTCTGGTCAGGTGCAGCACCTTCTCTGGCTCCTCCTTGGCCTGGGAGCGCAGTTTCTCTCGCAGGCCTGTAGGCTTTCCAGTTCTCTCAGGTTGCTGTTCATTTTCTGTTGCTCCGCAGCCTCCCTGAGCTCAGTGGCTTCTCCAGACAGGACATCTGAGACTCCAGCTCCCTGAGGCAGGTCTGCTGCTGGTCAGCCTCTGCTTATCTGGCCTGTGCGTCCCGGGCTCCACGTGCCTTCAGCAGGGCCTCAATAGATGGGCTTCTCCCGGTGAGTTGGGAGTTAGCCACCGTGCCTCCATGAGCTGCCCATAGAGACCACTCAGCTCCTCACATTTACTCACCTCCGCTTCTGAGGACTGTAACGTGCTGTGGAGCTCAGCCACCTGCTGCTGCTGCCCCTGGGCCCTCTCCACATATGTCTGGAGGCTGGCATAGCCAGTCTGTATTTCTGGGCTTCTGGCTGACCCTAGCTAAGCGCTTCTACAGGCCCTCCCCACTCCCACTGCAAGCCATGTGCAGGACCTGCTCCTAGAAGGCCTTGGCTTCCAGAGCTGCTCCTCCTGCCTTACAGACTCTGACATATCTATCAGTTCTTTGCTGACCTTACTGAGTTCCGGCCAGAGCTTGGCTGGCTTCATGTTCTGCCTGCTTTCACCTGGCTCATGGCCTGGCTCAGGGCATCCTTAGGATGGAGCCCTCCTGCTGGAGACTGATCAGCTGAGCATTAGGGCCATTCTCTAGTCCAGATCTTGCTCTAGTTTGCTGTTTTCTCTCCTTTTTTGCCTTGACTGGGGCCTCCTTTCTCTTTGTTATAGGCAAATGGCTTACACACCTGGCCTCTCAGCCTTTCCTGGTTCTGCCTCTCCCTTCTTACTGTTATCAGGGGGTTGGAATGGCTGCTCTGGAGTGAGTTGTCATCACAATTCTAACAGCAGGGTGTTAGACTTTCCATCAATCTTATCTCCGTCCACTTCAGCTACCCATTGATCTACCCACATCTGAGGGTACACGACCTTCACTGGCTTTGCACCTTCCTCACCCATTGTGCTTTCTCACTAGTGCCCAAACTCACTTCTCTTATCTATGTCTCTACCTCCCCAGGTCAGCTATGCTGCTAGTTACTTCATTTATTGGTCGCCCTACATAAAGTCCCAATATTGTCACCAAGGACCCAAATAGGATGCTTTGCAGCTCAGTGTCCCTCATACCAGATGTAAAGCCTTCATCATCTGCCTCAGATGTCCAAGTTAAACATAGCATTCTGCATGTCCAGTTCCCAGAGAACCTGCTGCAGTTCTGAATAGGATTGCCAGTGACTAACAGGACATGGCAGGTCCCCAGCGTTAGTCTACATTGTACGGACTGTAACCATGACCCAGTCCAACAAGGAGCAGGCACCTCAGCTATCTAATTGGCTGGGCGTGGTGGCACTCTAGGAGGTTGAGGCAGGTGGATTGCCCAAGCTCACAGGTTCCAGACCAGCCTGAGCCAGAAAAAGACCTCATCTCTTATTTAGCAAGGTGTTGCAGCAGGTACCTGTAGTCCCAGCTACTTGGGAAGCTGAGCCAAGAGGATCGCTTGAACCCAAGAGTTTGAGGTTGTTGTGAGTTATGACACCACAGCACTTTACCTAGGGCAACAAAGGGAGACTGTCTCAAAAAAAAAAAAAAAATTTTGCAAGCACTGCCTATTGATGGGTGTGTGGTGATAGAGGCTGATTTCTCAATCTCAAAGGCATCCAGGACAATGCCCCCCACCCATAGATCCCATAAACTCAACCTTCCAGCAGCCAGGGACTCATTAGTTCTCTACCTAACTATTTCCCCAGCTCCACCAACTTGGTCTGGGTACACAGAGGAAAGGTGGAGTGTCCAGTCACTTGTAGGGGTGTGGCTGCCTGCCCTCCTGGAGCCCTTAGTTTTTGCGTTTTTACCTTTTCCATCATGGCTGGCTGTAACCCTGAAGCTGGGTTCACCTTCCTCTTCTGAGGAGCAGTCTACTAGCACCACCGCAGGAGAGTTCAACTGACCCCAAGAGTCACAGGACCACCCCTCCTCCAGGAGCCATTTCATTTCCCCAGTACCCTGTCAGGAGTCACACTGCTCCTCAAGAAGCTGCCCCCTCTCTTCTAGGGCCCTGAGCTGCTATCGCTCGGCCTCCAGCTTGTCCTGGGGTTCCCAGATATGAATTGCCCCCTGGAATGTTGCCTCAGTCTCTGCTCCCAGAGCTGTAAGAAAAACCCAGTGCCCAGCCCCACAGCCTTACACTTTCCTTCTCAAAGGCCTCTCCATGGTATGGGGGGGGGGCTGCTTACACAGAGTGGTGTCCCATCCATATTGGGTCACCTGGTAGGGTACCCAGGCAGACAATAGGTGACCCACTGAGTACACATACTCTTGGCAGGCCATCCCTCTATCCCCACCCCCTCAGGGTGATGAATCTATTTTTCAGAGACAGAGTTTCACTTTGTCGCCCTCGGTAGAGTGCCATGCGTCACAGTTCACAGCAACCTCAGACTCCTGGGCTTAGGCAAGTCTCTTGCCTCAGCCTCCCAAGTAGCTGGGACTACAGGCGCCTGCCACAACACCCGGCTATTTTTTTTGTTGCAGTTTGGCCAGAGCTGGGTTTGGCCGCCCGCTGGGGTGATGAATCTTGCTGACACAATTGTAATGCCAGAGGTTGAGGCTAATGAGGTTTGCATGGAACTGAGAAGACCAGAGAAAACCAAGGAGCTGTGACACGTCCTTCCTTCACCTCATGGCGGCCAGCAAACAAGCATGGAGACATCCGCCTTCAGCTAGCTCCTGGGAGAAGGGAGCATAAGCAGCTTCCAAGCCTCAGGGCCTTATACAGCAGTCAGACAACCATGGCTCCACTCAAGCACTAATGACGGTTACTTATTGTACTGTGGCACCTGCCGGCTTAATCATAGTTATTCACAACAAGCTGGCACCTCATAGCCTTCAGGTGAGAAGGCGTAATTGACTCCTCTTCCCCATAGGGACAATGCAGAGGATTGTGACTTAAGTGGGGGTTTCCAGTTTTTAGGTTCCTGGAATATTTAAAAATGCAAGACATGTCACCAAGGAAGCCTGTAGAAATTGTGCCACGTTCAACTCTGAGACTGTCTGTGCATACTCATCTCGAGATAATATCAAATCCTGCTGTGGATGAGAGGCTAAAAATGGCTCTCCTGCCCCCTTCCCAGACCTTGATCCTACTACCCTGCCGGAAGCAAATAAGAAGAGATAGGGTGAGGAATCACACTGTCACAAAGGCTGTGGTTGTTGCTAATATTTACTTTTCTGGTTATAAAAGTAACACATGAAGAGCATTGGATTTGGTGAGAATGTTTGAGCCCTGATTTTGTTACTACCACCTGGGGAATCCAGACAAGTCACTTGTCAAAACTGTCATTTCCTCATCTGGGACACAGGACAGGGAACCCCGTCTTGCCCACTCCACAGACCAAAGTGCAGAATGAATGAGATAACAGAGGAAGCACTTGGTAAACTGGATAGTGCTGACAAAGGGCAGGGGTCAGTGTCACCACCCTCAGCTGAGGTAGCACCAAGGTCTGAGCTCCTGCCACCCCACCTCCCACCCCTAAATACACACACAAATGGAGGGCCACGTGCAGCCTTGGTTTGATGGAGCAGGGAGAGGAGACCACAAATATCTTCCTCAAGCCTGGCCAGACAGGGCCTTCCCAGGGCCTCTCCAGAATCGGGCATCAGCTGTGGCCAGCTGGGTGAGGACCTCCTCCAACTCAGGCCCATCCTCTGGGAAGCGCTGGGAGAAGGATCGGATGAGGCCAGCTGCCGAGGCCTCGTATTCCAAAAGCTGCACTTCGGAGCCTGGGGAGGGGGTGGAGAGAAAATAGCAGCAGGGAAGGTGAAGAGGAAGCAGAATGGTAACAACAGTTATAACAATCATAATCCCAGGAGCAGCTAGTTCTTGTGCCAAACATCATGCTCATATGCTTTAGACTAATTATCTAGTTTAATCCTTACTATGATCCTATGAGGAAGAAAATGCTATGGGGGTTATTAAATGAATTGCTGCTCTCACAGCAGGTGCCACACCAGGTGAAATGGATGGAGTCTTTGGCCTCCTGGAGTTTGTGGCCCAGCCAAGTGCTTCATCTGAAAGGAACTGTGGTAATGACATACAGTATGTATTGAGTGGGTGCTCAACAAATGCTAGCTGCTCCTAGCACGCTGCAAGGCTGAGGTAGAAGGATCACTTGAGCTCAGGAGTTCAAGACCAATCTGAGCAAGAGTGATACCGTGTCTCTTCTAAAAATAGAAAAATTAACTGGGTGTCCAAAGTAGAAAAACTAGCTAGGTGTCCTGGCAGGCACTTGTAGTCCCAGCTACTTGGGAGGCTGAGGCAGGAGAATCACTTGAGCCTAAGTTTGAAGTTGCTGTGAGCTATCACAGCACTCTCCAGGGCAACAGAATGAGACTCTGTCTCAAAAAACAAATAAACAGGGTGGCGCCTGTGGCTCAAAGGAGTAGGGCGCCAGCCCCATATGCTGGAGGTGGCAGGTTTAAAACCAGCCCCGGCAAACAAACAAACAAATAAACAATAAAACAAATATTGCCACCAGCATCACTATCCCTGAGCCTATTTACTCATCTGTTAAATGGGGCTATTCCAATGGTCCCCTGAAGACCCTGAGCACTCCCCTCAAATACACTCAATTGCCCTAGCCTATCACAGCACCTTGCCATGTTCTGTGGCACTGCCATGTGTATAGCATCAAAGGGAACAGGTGTTCAGGTGGCCGAAGTTTAAGTCCTAGCTCTGCTGCCTACAACTATATGACCTCAGGCAAAGACACAGCCCCTCTGTGCCTTATTTTCTAGCTGAAGAATAGGGATAATAATCATTCTCCCAACTCAGTGCCTGTACCTCAGTGTTTAGGGTGCCAGTCACATACACCCAGGCTGATGGGTTCGAATCCAGCCCAGGCCTGCTAAAAACAATGACAATTGCAACCAAAAAATAGCCGGGCATTATGGCGGGCACCTGTAGTCCCAGCTACTTGGTAGGCTGAGGCAAGAGAATCGCTTAAGCCCA